ATGGAAAGCAACGAGATTTTACCTGACGGCCCGTCTCGAGCAACTTTCGCCTACGTAAGAAATTGGAAATGTTCCTCGAATATTTTCCCTCTCCCTCGAGCTCACGAGGATTACAAAGCCCCCTCGGAGTTAAACGAAGCTCGATATTTCGGAAACGATCGGTAGTTCGGAACTGCTGCCCCTGACAGAAAGTTCCCGATCGAACAAAGACGAATAACGCTCGGATAATCGATCTGGAAGAATGGAAATTTGCGATCAAAATGGGTGTCAAACAATGCGATTTGTTTTGCGTGAAAGGCGGCTACTATAACAATTCGATTTCCATAAACGAAAGATTTTGATTCGTTCTTAGAACAAATACTTCAAGTGTTTGCGTTTGATCGGCCAACTTTTCGCCAGGCAAGCGACGTTCAACGTTAAACGCACGTAAACACGGAAACTCGAACTTCTCGCTTATTTCTCACGCTGGGTAAACTCGTTAGCCGGCTAACCAAACGCGAGCAAATTTTTCGTGTGCAATTTTTCTTCGACGTGCATGTGGGGCTACACTGTTAACAGCCAGAAATAATTAATCGTCAATTAACGTCAGCCGTACCCCCCACTGAGAAAGCCAAACGAGAAATTAAATACTTTCGCATTTCGTTTCGCGTTTCACACTCTGGACGGTTGGTTAGCCTTTTCCTCTGTCTCCCTCTGGTGCACACGATACTAAACATTCTGTCTGTCGATCTTACCGGCTTCGCTATTACCGCAAAACCACCGGCAACATAAAGCAACCATGTACTCTCTCATTGTCTTCGCTCGACGCCAAACACCACGGAAAAAATACAGAGTGTCCATAAAGTCTGTTTACAATTTCAGAGACTTGTTACAAGGACAAATGAGGAGAGAGATAAGAGGAGATTATTGCAAAATGAGACGTGTATATTTAAGTTTTTTTTTCTGCCTCGTTTCATACGTACGTTTGTTTCCCAGCCAGTTTTATTTGCTCAATTCTCTCGTTTGTACGTTTTTTCCAAGTCAGTTTGCTGTTCAGTTTTCAATCTGCTGTGGAAAAAAAAAAAATAAAATAAAATGGCGGGACCGAGCGAGTTAACTGCTGGCAATTTGTCTTGGAGAAGTAGTTTTAACGACGAGGTCCATGTGTCGGTCCCGGTGAACGCGAGATAGACGGAAACGTTGATGGAAGGCAATTTCTATGTGTCTGAAGATCGTGTGCGATGTCGATCCTCCAAGGGACTGACAGTTCCCTGTTTGCTTCTACCCGGTGGCTGGCTTGCAGTCTGCAATGTTCAATCACAAGGGGCGTGTCTGTAACTTTCGCTTGAATCAAGTCGTTAATGCCAACTAGCACGGAAATGGCATGTTTACCTGTATGTAACATTAATTGCGTCAAAACTGACAGGTATAATTGCAATTTATGTATTTTGAATGTTTGTAATTTACACTTGGAATTGATAATCAATATTCTAAGTCAATAGTCGTTTGATGAATCAGATACACCTATCTGAATTATAAAAACACGACAGTATATTGATTCCAGTTAGCTAACAAAGAGTTTAAAGGAGATATATGTATATTATAAAACAAAAAACTCAACTAAAGTACATTTCAAATGTATATGAAGAGCCAAGTTTGGAAAGGAACACATGTATATTGTAATGAAACATCAACTGAAGATATAACAGTACGTTTCAAAGGCATATGAAATGCCTGATTGTGAAATATTGAAAGACTCTTTCTAAAGTCATTTGTCAGATGTATCTTTTGATCAGATACACCTGCTTGAATTTCCCGATATATTGATTCCAATTAGCTGACAGAGACCCAACTTTTAAAGGAGATGTATATATATATTATAAAAAAAACCTGACTGAAGATATAACAGTACATTTTGAATGTACATGGAATCGATGCCTGATTGTTAAATATCAAGAGACTTTCTAAAGTTACTTGTCAAACCATCAAGCCTTTTGATCAGTACACTTATAGGAACTTTTGTACAATGATTCCAATTAGCTGAGAAAGAACCAAATACGTACATTATGAAACATGAACGTTTCACTATGTTAAAACTGACAGTATAACAATTTATATTTCAGATATATATGGATTATTTGATTTAAACATTAAAGCTCCTTTTTCTGAAATCATTTGTCAAACCACCTTTTGATCAACGTTTGTTTTGTAATTTTTATGCATTCATATCTAATTAGCCGACAGGAAAGTCAATTTTTCTGCTGAGTGTTGTTCACCTGCGAGATGAAATTACAATCAAGCTTCTATCCTTGAATCTTCTACGATTTTCACAAAAATTCTGCCATACCGTTGGCGAAGATATATTGATTCCAATTAGCTGACAGAGACCCAACTTTTAAAGGAGATGTGTATATATATATTATAAAAAAAAATTGACTGAAGATATAACAGTACATTTTGAATGTACATGGACTCGATGCCTGGTTGTTAAATATCAAGAGACTTTCCAAAGTCTCTTCTAAAGACCATCAAGCCTTTTAATCAGTACAGTAGGAACTTTTGTACAATGATTCCAACATATGTATATTATGAAACAAAGGTTTCACTATGTTAAAACTGACAATATAACAACGTATATTTCAGATATATATGGAACCAATATTTGATTTAAACGTTGAAGCTCCTTTTCCTGAAATCATTTGTCAAACCACCTTTTGATCAACGTTTGTTTTGTAATTTTTATGCATTGATATCTAATTAACTGAGAAGAAAGTCAATTTTCCACCTGCGAGATGTAATTACAATCAAGCTTCTATCCTTGAATCTTCTACGATTTTCACAAAAATTCTGCCGGTACCGTTGCGACCTGGCGAAAAGAAGAAAGAAAAGAAAATTATAACGAAACTCGCATTGCAGAGAACTGTGCAGGGAGAATTATAAAATGCTGGCTTGATACGTTCGGTTAATTCCACGCCGGCGTATGAAAACATATATGAAACATCGGCCTATCTGGCCAGCTTTCTCGGCGCACGAGCAGAGGCTGATAACAATTAACCGGGTAACGCGAAAATATAAATCGCGACGCGTTTCAAGCTCGCGAGCACCGATAAGCCGCTCCGCCGGCGAGAGTAATATATCAGAGTCCGCGGGATACGCACGGAGCAGCATGGCCGCGCAATTACATCGCAATAAACTCGCCGATTGATCAACGTCCCCGGTTCCCCGTCCTGTGTAAATACATCGTCGGGCGCATTGTCTCGCCGACTGATCGTTATAATGACGCTAATAAGATCGCGGCGGGAGTGCAGACTCGATAAATCATCGTTATCAACAAGGAATTTGCGGAGGGAACAATGCTGCCAACCTGTATAAATTCAACCAACCGCACGCATCCTAAACCAGAGCCGTAATTTTTGGTTAATTACAGCTCCGGCTGGTTAAGCCTGGGGATATTTGCTTGTCGGGACGGAGGATTGAATTGTTGATAAATGAAAATCGAGAAAACGAGCGGTACTCGTTTCACTGATTTTTTTAATGAAACTATACTAATACAGCGTTAGTACACGACTAACGTTGCGTTATTACGTGTATAGCACAAGTTTTGTAGTCATACAAAAATACTTTATTATTATTGATACTATTTTTAATCTATATTTAAATATTTATCATTTTATTTAAGTAAAATTTAAGTTAAATAAATATAATTTATTATATTTATTTAATTTAAATAACTTATTATAGATTTATTTAACTTATTATAGAAATTTAATTTAAATAAATATAATTATATTATATTAATATAAAAGATACTTTTATAATTAAGTGTTAAATTCATTAAAATGATTAATAAAAATGGATAACTTATTAATTATTTTAATGAATTTAACACTTAATTATAAAAGTATTTTTTTATATTAATATAATATATGATGTCCCTTCCCTAATTTAATCTAATATTTAATTTTTATATGTTTAATATATAAATTTATATTATGATAAATAATTTAAATTTCATCTATATTAATTTATAAATATTTATATAATAATATAAATTTATATATTAAACATATAAAAATTAAATATTAGATTAAATTAGGGAAGGGATATCATGTATTATATTAATATAAAAAAATACTTTTATAATTTAAAATTTTAATAAAAATTATTTTTTATAATATAATAAAAAATTTAATTTGAAATTATATATATTGTATTTTAAAATATTTCTATATTTATTATTATTAAATTATTAATTTATTTAAATTAAATTTCAAATAATTAAATGAATGAATGAATAATAATAAGCCGCTGAAACTTATTTCTTTCATGTAGAATTGCCTCCTCTCCGCTTGTATTATTGACACAGGGTGTCCAATGTACATATATACTGTATTATAATACTTTATTATTGTTGGTGTTTAATCTATTAATAAGTTCTTAAAAAGAATTGTAACATCTTAAAAATATGTACAATATATGTACAAACAGAGAATTAGAAAATAATCATAGATTTGCAAAATAAAAGAAACAATGCAAAAAAAATATCTGGATAACGATACGACAACATCTTATATAAATTATAGAAACGTAATTTTCAAACGCCACATTAACACATTGTACCCAGAAAAAGTCATTACTTTTTGATAAAATGTTAGTAAATTATCATTTAAAGGATAAGCAGAAAATTGTAGATACTATTCAATTATACACATTATACACAACTTACCTTGTTTTTCAAATGAAAGCAAACAATATAGTTTACCACTAAAAAAAAAGCTGAAAATTAATTCCTATTTGATAACCATATCACCCGGACTTACCTACTAATTTGATACTGTAGTTTAATATATGATATATATGATATATTCTAATATATCTAATATATGATATATGATATATTCTAATATATCATATATTCTAATAGTAGTAGATATATTAAAATATATCATATATATAATATAATAATTATAATATATATAATGTATTAATATATATGATATATTCTAATATATCTACTTGGCTAAAAATCATTTACGTTCGACCAAGTCTGCCTAAAAAGACAATTAGCGCATTCGCAAAGATAATCCAGGAAGCAAAATTCCACGCTTTACCGGGGCGTAAAGCGCATCGAGAACATCTTCCTAACGATCCAATAAACTTCGAACGCAATCAGCGCCTCGACTTTCCGATACCCATAACCAATCTGTCCCCAGCAAGTTTCACCTCGGTCGCGATAGTTGCCCGTTTCCTGAATCGGGGCTGTAACTATGGAACAAGTTCGATAATGTACAGGTTGAAAATTGTTCCACTGCTGAAACCATGGAGGATAATAAAGCAAGTACCAGCTGACTCAGTGTCTCGTGCCCGATCTCCATTTTTCCGCCAAGGATCGTAAAACGCCATGGCTGCCCTCCCTGATTCAGGCGTTATCCCGTTTTCTTTTTACTCTGTACGCTCGCGAATGATCGAGAGCGGAGGAAAAAGAGCACGAGCCGCGTTGGTAAAAGATAATCAAGTCGATGGCTAGGATTCGATGAAGCTGCACCGGGTGAGGGAAGGGGAGGTCGTTGGTGATCCACAGGCTGAAGAACTTCCGGTCGCAGCGACTGCAGAAAAGTGGCGTGCCAACGGCGGTGGCGGATTCCAGTCACGTAACAGCGGCACCGAGTCTTCCAACCGGAAAGAAAAACAGCCAGCGTTCTGTGAAACAGATAGAGGGATAGTGGAACGAGTGGTCAGCGAAACTGCTCGAGGAAAATGGTGTCGATACATTGAGACGCGAAATAACGATAAAATCGACGTAAGTTATATACATGTTACATATAAAATGTACAAGCTTTCAAAAAGATTCCAAAGATCTAATTCTACTTTGATTTTATATACAAACAAATACCTTGAATTTTTAATCCAATACCGAGTCTTTGACTTCATTAAGGTACAAACGACTGGTTCTCCAATGTCAATTGCAGTCTTGACAAGAGTACAAACGTTGTGTTCTTCACTTGTACAATAAATCCCTCTGCGTAAGGAAAAGATGTAAAGTAACAGTTTCAGGCATTGCAGTAAGGCATCTTCTTTAAAAAGAGAGATCTCCCTGCAGCTCCCTGCTTCCATTTTTCATTAAACAAAGACGCTGGTTGGCACAATTATGAATTTCCTTGAAGCTCGCTCCTTCCGTTTCCACTCACCCCTTTCATACCTTTGTTCTCCTCCACTTTCGTGTTTTCTTTTTTTTATTAAATTTTCCAATTTATTTTTGTCGACGCCGGGAGGAGGTTCGAAAGTAAGCCAACGATATATCACCGACGGACACGGCCGCTTTTATATACTGCATTCATAACGGGTTACCGGAAGTCGGACCGCTCGTTGGAGAAAAGTTACGATAGGTAATAACAAACTTTGGTATTCTTGCCGCGACTACGATGAATACTCCACGCAAGCCCGGTTAATTTATATCAATTATACTGGTTCAAGCAATTAAGCGCGAGAACGAGGCCTGGCGATGGGGCGCCGGCCTGGTTTTATTAAGAAGTTACCGTTCATCAGCCCCGTTATTCCATGCACGTCGATAGCATATTCCCCCCCGGAGGGGAAAAAGAAAACGCAAAGTACTCTTGCTTCCCTTTTCTGGAACAATCGGTCAATCCTCTCTCTGTACGGAAAGAACTTTCTCGCTTCTTTGGGATTATTCAAAGTCTCGGCGACCATTAACAGTTGCGAAGTCCGGAGCCCTTTAAAATAGCCCTGTAAAATTTTAACCAAGGCCTAAATATCTTTTCCTGTGCCTGAATGGATTTCCCCCGCGTCATTAGTTCCAAGCAGAAGGTTCCTTTAAAAGAACCGCACATGGCCCAGTTTCTAATAGCAATTTAGAATTTTTCTTGCCACAGTAACTCTATTTACTTGTAAGAAAGTACAACGCTTTTCAGAAGGTACAACGACACGGAATCCTTTCACGTATGCTTCTTAAGCGTGAGAAATTGAAGCTGGAAAATTTAAAGAGTCTCAGTCCTCGACCGTGAAGAAGAAATTGTATCGAACAGCTTTCGACTGTACGTTGGTCCTTTAAATAATTCGCAAACAGTCAGACTGAAGATTAAATGTCGGTGGCAATGATCTTTAAAGAGTGGTACACAAAGGGGCGCTTTAAAGGACCTACTTTCCAGTCGTCGAGCCGAGTGCTCTTCCTTTCTCTCCCTCCAGCCTGGCGTGTGCCTCTTTCCTCCCTCCTGGCGTCTGCGTCTTTCATGTTTCCTTTTTCCGATTTCTTAGTGCGGAACCGAGCCACCGGACGCTTTCTACCGACCGGCGAGGGTGAAAATTACGACTACGCGTAATTTCGCTCGAATATTACTCGGCCTGGGCGAAAAACGAAGCGAGAACCGTACCTTATTACCGTACCACCGAAGAAATTACCTCGTTCACCTTTCGCTCTGCGCGCTTTTATTCCATTTAAACTAGGTTTTACAACAAGTGCAGAGCTTTTGAACGATCGTCGATCATCTTCGAGACGACTTGAGGGTCTAGAAGAATTTCTTCGCTCCGAAAGTAGGTTTCAAAATATTACTTAAATCGAATTCTGCAACAAAAAGAAAAAAAAGCAGACGTGAGCGTAGAAAAGGGCGAAATCAATGGAAGCCTTCGATGAGATGTATCACAAGTACGTGGAAAATTGTGAGTCTTGCTGGTCGATGGGGCGTTTGCATTGCTCTCCGAGATTGCGTCCTCGATGGGCATGGATATGTTGGAGCACTCGCAGAAATCTCGAACAGATCCTCCGTATAGGGATATTTGATCAGCTGAATATACGATATACATCCAATAAAATAGAAGCGTACAACAAGACAAGTCCAAGCTCGAAGATAGAGAAGCAATGGTACCTTTCAGATTGGCCATATTATCCGTACAGAAACTCATGTCGCTGTTATCAGAGAAATCGTAGCGGTGTGGAGTAAACATACTGGAGGGATTGGCATGATCCTGATCGTGCTTTCTCATCAAAGGCGTTGTTATCCTTGACCCAGGAGACTGATCTACCAATCGACTTCCCCTTGGAGCTGAATCATTGTTTGATAAATGTGCAATCATTTTTGTCCACAACAGGAGATGCACGAGACCAAAAGATTTGGCTGCATTAAAGAAATCAAAAAAAAAAAAAAAAAAAAAAAAAAAAAAAAAAAATGTCACGGTCAATTCTTTTGGCCTACAAACTTGATTCGAGTTACTTTTGTCTATGTTTTTAATCGAGGGCATTTTGTAGCGAACTGTCTCGATCTTCGTGATTCTTGAACGACAGAGCGGATCAACCGAATCCCACTTTTCCTTATCCAATTGAATATCCTTCACCGGTATCGCCACCGACTTCCCCTCGCCGGAGATCAATCTCATTCTCTTCGCTGCGAGATCATCCATCTCCTCAAGATCCTCGCTGCGTCGGCCTGTTTGCTTATCTTTCGAAATACCGGATGGCTGGTCCATGTGCTCCAATTCCTGGTCCATTCGTTGTTCCAGTTCCTCCTCGGCCGCATCGATCGCTTCCAAAGCCATGTTTCCATCTACCTCGCTGGCTACGTCCTCGTGCTCCACTTGCTGCCGCTCCTGGTCCAAGAAAGGGCTCGTCGAATCGATCGGACGGTCACAAGGAACATTCTGGCCTTTCTCGGCGTGAATTGAAATTTCAGATGACGGTTTCATGACGCTCTCCTCTGTCAGACACATTTCTTCCAACATCAGGGTATCCACCGACAGGGTATCTGAATTCCAAGAGTTACTCTTTAATTTCACCCCCAGACAAATTACTCTCGTAAAACGTCTAAATCTAATTTAATTAAAATCGAAGACCGGGCCGTGTACGAGGAAGGAGAATATATTCTCAGAGCGCTGCTCCAAAGAATATCTCGCGATAAAACGTATAAAGGGCCACCTATGGAATTCTCATCATTTCTTTTCCAGTCAGGCAAGCCGGTCCTCGATCTGCGACCGTAAATCGTGCGCATGTGGGAAAAATTAATCTTTGGCGGCGGCATTTCCAGCAGCTTCAACGCCCGATCCTTTTTCTCCTCTTCCTGCTTCTTCAGCTGCACGGCTAGCTAAAAAGGAATCGGAAATGTCACGCCATGAGAGAAACGTATTACGCCAGAGAAAATTGAAAATTTCTTCGAAATTCGTGAATGATCGCCGGTGGTGGGCACCTCGGTCGTGATCATGTCCAACTCCTTCCTGCGCTGCTCGATGGTTCGATTGTATTCCTGCAATTTCTTCTCGAGGTTCATGTGGTCCGATATGGTGCGCGCGAACTCCACGATTTTCGTGCGCATTCTCAGCCACGTGATGCGCTTCCTCTGCTCCGACATCTTCTCCAGCCCGTTGATCTTATATTCCAGCACCATTTTATCCACTTGAAGCTTTCTCAATTTTGCTTCCCACTCCTTCCTCTCCTTGGCCAACGGAAATTCCTCGTACCTCTCCTAAATAGCGGTTGCAATCGTAGAATGAAATTTATTCAAACGACCTTCAGTACCCCCCCCCCCCTACCTCGGAATTTCACGCTGAATGAAAATTACGCACGTGATATGACTGCCACGTCGCTTCGTACACGTTGAGAATATTCTCGTATTGTTGACAATCCAGTTTCATGACTTTGTAGTCGTTGTCCAAATTCAGGTTCATCAGCTCGATTTTGTTGGAAATTTCGTTAACACGTTTACTCTCTCTGCAAAGGAATTTTCAGAAAATATAAACACAAATTGCTCGAGGTCGCGTTGCTTCGCTTATCCTTATATACGTACTGGTTTAATGTGTTTGTTAAAATCAGTATGTTTTCCTGCGCGCTCTCCGTTTTTTCTTTCAACTCCTTCCGCGTTTTCAACTGCGCCTGCATCCCCAGCTTCAGTCCTTTTATCTCGCTCGCAAGTTCTTGGAAAAATGCACAAAACCGACGATGAAATAAACTCTGTGAAAGCCATTTGTCTCGTTTCAAATATGGCGGCGTGTACGCTCAACAAGTGTCAACGTTACCTCGAGTGTCAATCAGCGTCGATTAAAAAGTGTCAAACATCGTTCACCACGTACATCGTTCAACGAGTAACGAGTGAATATCGCAAAATAAACAGTACATAAACATAATGCATAAACGGATTCTTTTCAAGATAAAAGGCAAGTAACGAAGAAATAAGAGAGGTTACTTACCAGAGGACGTACGCTTGGCTGTTTCGATCTCGACACGCAGACAGGTTTCCAACATAATCATAAATTGAGGGTCGTCACAGCTGGTTTCAGCCTCCATTCTTATCGTATGGCACTACTCTCGTCCAAAAGTCACACCAATTCGATGGAAAAAACTGATCAAAACCGCGAAAAGATGCGAAATTTCCTGATACACAGTGACACTTGCCGAACGTTCGGTGCAACTGGCGTCACTTGGGTCCGTTGAATTTTGCAACGCGCTCTGATTGGCTGGCGCTACGCGCTGAAATTTAAAGCGCTTTTTTGAATCGTATTAAGAATTGTTGACATACAAGAAGAATGAATATCTTTAATTGGCAACTGACATCAGTGGCTGCGTTGAATTTTACAACGTGCACTGATTAGTTAGCTGCACGCGTTGAACTTGAAGCACTTTTTCAAATCGTATTAAAAATTATTGACGTACAAGAAGAGTTTATATCTTTAATTGGCCAGTGACGTCACCGGGTCCGTTGAAATTTGTAACGCACTCTGATTGGCTGGCGCTACGCGCCAAAATTTAAAGCGCTTTTCCGAATCGTATTAAGAATTATCATTAATGTACAAGAAGAATTATTATTTTTAATCGGCAAATGAGGACAAGCGAATATCCATGATTTTAATAATAAATCGGAAATGATATATTTCCGTAAAAACACCAAGACCATCGATACAATCTGTTGAATGTCATTTAGTGATCTAGAGTTCAGAGAATTATCATCAAACATTATCATATTAAAGAATTGATAACAACAACGATAATAATAACGATAAAAGAGAATAATAAAATAATTTCAATCATTCAGGAAAGCAATTTGTCTAGAAATAATAGCGAGCGCGATAAGAAAACTACTGTGAAACAAAATACGATTAAGCAAATCTCAAGGAAGCATCGTCTCGAGAAACTCATCGAAACTCTGAAATAACATACCTTATGAAAATATTAATGCACCCGGACTGGAACAGAGTTGCCAAGCAGAAACTTAAAACAGGAAATTCACGAGCGAGGAGAGTACCATGTAGCTGTTTGCTGGACCGTCGAGTTCCTCTGTTTACAGCGGCCCATTCGTTTACAGTTTACATCGTGTTCCTCACCGGTTGTTCCGGCTCCTCCGCGCAAACATAAAGGTGAATTTAATTCCCGTGCAACGTCGGCGTGTAAACATTTTTACGTGTAGCAAGCGACGAACCGGTCGTCACTGGCGCAGCCGATTAATTCATCGGTCCCGGGGAAATTGATATCGAAAAATATAAGTAAAGACCAACGGATGCCGAGTGCACGAACATAGGGAACTGGCCATCGGCCAACTGGACGGCCATTTAGGTCAAAGCGGGACCCACCCTTTTCCGCTCGTCTCGTCGTTTCCACCGCTTTCGTTCTGCTGGCGACCACTCTGCGAATTGCCAATGCCATTTTTACCATTTTTACACTCTTTTTCCCAGCTGTCGTGTTAATGTTAAAGGTTAATTAAAAAGTTTTCACTCGTTTCGCTTCACGGCAGGGTTTCTACAGTTCTTTGGAAAAGAGGATTTCAGAGAAGCGTCGTTCCGGAGGAATTCTTTCAAGTGTCCGCCAGTAACTTTCGGCGCAAAGAGTGAACGACGAGTTGACACGACTCGTGGAATTTCGTCGTTTTGCTTTGTTTCCTTTTTTCCTTCAGATTTTGAAATCCGCGATAAGGGGTATATCCGGTGAAGATCCCCACCAAATTTCAAGGCAGTCGGTCAACTAAAACGTGAGACATCCTCAGTCAGTTTAAAAAATATGAATTTGAGAGAAACACATTTGAAGTTATACCTGCAATCAGTCGAGCGGTACAGAAAAAGTGTTATATATAAATATAATATTAAAAGTAAAATATTATAAAATTATAATATAATATAATAAAAATATAATATAATAATATATTATAATAAAATATTATAAAATTATAATATAATATAAAATAAAGTATTTTTTGAGAAAAACACATTAAAAATATTAAAAATATTACAAAATAATAATAATATAAAATAAGATATTTTTTGAGAAAAACACATTAAAAATATTAAAAATAAAATATTATAAAATAATTATAAAATGAAATATTTTTTGATAAAAACACATTAAAAATATTAAAAATATTACAAAATAATAATAATATGAAATAAAATATTTTTTGAGAAAAACACATTAAAAATATTAAAAATAATAAAAATAGAATAATATAAAATAAAATATTTTTTTGAGAAAAACACATCTGAAGTTTCTCCCACCCGTTTTGTAATTAATAAAAATATTTGTAAAATATTTATACTTACGTTGCGAGCAGTACCTATAAACATCTATAACTTTGCTAATTTTACGAATTCAAACAAATGCTTTCACACAGACATTTTCGAAAGCATGTACTTTGAGAAAATGTAAAAAAAAAAAAAAAAAATTGATTTTCTTCATGCCGGATTACCAAAATACCCCGTTAACTTGGAATTCTTTTCTTCGAGAGTCTCGATCCGAGGATATACGTGTATAACTACAAAACACCAGGTGTTCCCGAATGCTTCGATAAACTCTCGCTGTTGGCAAACTTTTAAACGCATTCCTCCGGCCCGGGAAGCGGCTTCAAAGCACGAAATACTCTCCTCCCCTGGTGCGAGCCACTCTAAGCCTTCTCCACCCTCATTTGTCCGACACACACGCCTGAAATAAGTTCCGTAGTAAGCCTCCAAATTTTGCGGAGCAGCTTTTACACGCGTTCCACAGAGGAACGCGAACAGGGGAGGTAATTAACCCTTTATAATTCCCTTATAACAACACAACTTGAAAAAAAGTTTCACTTGTCCCGGCAGCCCTCTACACCTTATAACTTCCACTTTCAATTGTCAACGTTCTATTTTATTCGCTTTACCGTCTATTCCAACGAAATAAAAAAAGGGGGGGGGGGAAGAACAGAGAAAGAGCAGACTCAAAGGGAGTGATTTTTTGATCTGCAAACGAGGGGGAAAATCCGATTACGGAAGAAACGGATTGAAAACGGCGCAACGCGGGAATGAAAACTCCGTTTAACGAGGCCACTTCTTTCCCCTGGCATTTATTCCACGTGCTTACCTGGTTGGGTTGGTGCGCCCCCTCGTTCGAACCCTGGCGAAATCCATAAGCGAAACGTGGTCCCGCCGACTGGCAAAGCTTGGAAAAGCGCGGAATGAGGCGAAAGGCAAGAGGAGGAAGGAAGGCGGTGCTCGTTCTTGCGTGCGTTGTACAAAAGCGGCGTTGCGCCATTAACGGGACAAAACAGCCAGACGCGTTCGTTCGCTTAAATGCAGCAGCACGCGGGTCTGCAGTTTATTTAATAGGAATCGCGAACTCCGCGCTTGTATACACAAGCATTTTGTCGCGCGGACGACATTGTCTCGCGAAAACGGGGAAACGAAACGACGACTCGCGGCTAAGTTATTCGGTACTCCGGTGTAATCCGTCCTATCCGCCAACAAATCTTCTCAACTGAAAACGATCACACGGCCACACCGGCGGGGAGGGCGAAACTATTGAATCCTTTCCCCCGTCGCGCGGTTCACCGACCTCTCTTCTATACAGAATCATATTTCCCTTTGCCCTCCCTCACTTTTCGTAGTTTCAGAAACTTCTAAACGGGCAGACAGTTTATTAATTTCGTCTCTTGCTTAATTCGAAATTTACTACAACGTCGCTAGAAGAAGAAAAAAAAAAAAGAAAAAGAAAAAGAGAGAAAAAAAACACAGGAAACTTCAGAACATTCCCATGGAAATGTATTTAAATTCATACGTGCCGGCGACGAAATTTAACTTCCTCGTTAAAGCAGAACATTCGTCCACGCGAGACTATTATAGAAAAAAAAAGGGGGGGGACGGGAGAAAGAATGTATCCGTCGACCAACAAAATTCGGTTTTATGAAAACTCTCTGTTGAATGGAGCGTGCGAATGTATCGGTGAAACGCGGAACGGGTGGGACAAAGTCGCGGGAAATGAAAGAGGATGGCAGACAGCGTGCAGCGCGCATCTTTGCGAGCTTTTCGCAATTTACGAGGCGCAACGAGACGTCGACGCCTTTCAACCAGCAGTGAACGTAATGTTTTCAATGGGGAACTCGCCCCCAACTTCGTTTCTTCCTTGTTTCGTCATTTATCAACCGCAAACCCCCTGTCTCGAATCGACAGGGGTACAAATATCGGTGGATCCTGGCGTATTTCTTGTCCTCGAGTCGGGATCCAAGGTGATCCTATACATTTTTCCTGCTTTTGTTACAACTCTACGCGTGAAAGTTGAAAATCGATTAATTTCCTAGAGCCTAATTAATTGCCACGTCTCATTCGCTTATCCAGGTCTCTTTCCTTGTTTCATTCCATGTATTATTTGTCCAGATTCAGTCGCACCAACACAATAGTTAGTACGCATATGCAACCAGAGTAACAGATTATGCAATAAAATTAACTTCCTCTCCATCGAACCTTAGTATAACTCCATACCCCGTCTATCTGAAAAAATTTTGCCACTAGAAAAAAATTATTATTACATACATTCTAACATATCTCGTTCTTCTATTTATTTCTCCAAAACTCGATGAAGCCAAAAAACAAAAGTGCTCGAGATTAAAAATTCCAATTGAAGGCGAGTATTCGCGAGCAACGCCGGAGCACGAAGGCAGTTGCTGTCCTTTTGAAAACGAGCAGCAACATGACGACGCATCCACTACCGTCTCGGTCGTTCATCCGTTCGCTATACTTTACATATTTCCACGTTTCACCGCGCCGCGTCGTGTCGATCCTTGTGCGTTCGTTCGCGCATCCGTCGCCTCCGGTTGCGATGTTTCAAACGACACAGTTGAAAAAAAGAAAAGGGCGGGAGGAAAAGAGGAGCAAGAAGAGAGACAGCGAACACAGGAGATGAAGGGGAAGCCGATCCCCCAGAATTCTCTCTTAGCCGCCGGCTACGAGCCACCATTCCTCTTGCACCGATAAACGGCCAGACGAATTTCTCTCTCATCTCCTTCTTCCACCCAAGTGGAATCGCCGTACACCGAATGAAGAATAGAACAGGAGCACTTCTTTCTTTCTGGCAAGATTCTAACCAGACCTGCAAAGGAAACGAGCGCCCTCTTACATCGGACGATTAACCTCTTGCGCTGGGAACTGGTTCGCGGACCATAACGAGTGACCGAACCGTACACAATAATTTGTCGCTTTCTTTTTGTCTTAAACTCGTCGTTACAATGTCACTGGATAGAAATTATTAAGAAGTAATAAATTTATCATTTATTTTGCCTGGGTTATACTTAAATGTACTGAAAACTGAGAAAATGTTGCAATTTTGGGACAAAAAATTCTCGACGTGCGTGGCACGTCATTCCAGTGTAAGAGGTTAACCACTAATTGCGGACCATAACGAGTGACTGAACTGTATACAATAACCGTATACAATAATTCTGCGAGTTTCTCTCTCTATTTGCAACAACCACGGTCTGCTACCAATTGTGGGTTGATTAAATGAAATACACACTTTTAGTTAACACGTATAATATATAAGAAAATAGTATAAACAATGTGTACAACAACTCTCGCATATGAAATCACACGCGTTGATATTACTCTCTTAACTCTAACTCGCGTATGTACACTCGTTTCCTCGTTCTTGGACAAAGGCACACTACTGCGCAATACTCTCACCATTGTCCCACACCTCACGCACACTCACACATATAACCTAAAGTCAAATCTATAATCATCAAACTAAATCCGCAAACATAAAACCAAATCCACAAATTCGTCGCTTTCTTTTTGTTTTAAACTCGTCGTTACGATGTCATCGGATAGAAATTATTAAGAAGTAATAAATTTATCATTTATTTTGTCTGAATTATACTTAAATATACTTAAAACTGAGAAAATATTGCAATTTTGGGACAAAAAGTTCTCGACATGCGCGGCACGTCATTCCAGCGCAAGAGGTTAACCACTGATTGCGGACCATAACGAGTGACCGAACCGTATACAGTAATTCGTCGCTTTCTTTTTGAACTCGTCGGTATGTTATCACTTTAGATAGATAGAAATTATTACGAAATAATAAATTTGTTACTTGTTTTGCCTGGATTATACTTAAATATACTTAAAACTGAGAAAATGTTGCAACTTGGGACAAAAAATTCCCGACATGCGCGGCACGTCATTCCAGCGCAAGAGGTTAACCACTGATTGCGGACCATAACGAGTGACCGAACCGTATACAATAATTTGTCGCTTTCTTTTTGTTTTAAACTCGTCGTTACGATGTCACTGGATAGAAATTATTAAGAAGTAATAAACTTATCATTCGTTTTGTCTAAGTTACATTTAAATATACTTAAAACTGGGAAAATGTTGCAGTTTGGGACAAAAAATTCTCGACGTGCGCGACACGTCCTTCCAGCGCAAGAGGTTACCGAGTTAACGGCGCGTTATTACAACGCGACGATACACGAGGTAAATTTAGATACATTCGTTCGGAAAGTGATCGCTGGGGGAATCGCAGTTGGGAACTGTTTCCCAGGGAATTCATTGCCCCACCGGGGCAGTATTTCGCCGGCCGCGTTTCTAAACGGATAATTCCGAGCAGTCGGCGAGCAACTTGTTTGTAGCGCTGCAGTTGAATGCCCCGTTGCTAAGTACGGCCGGTTCGCGATTGGCGATACGCCAGCCGCGCATAACAACGAATTTCCCCCCTCCCCCCAACCCCGAATTTCCCCCCGTTTCTCATTTTCCTAATTTCCCTGTTATTCTACCTTCTCTCGAAACGAAACGAAACTTCCCCTCTTTCCGGGGCTCGCTTTGGTTCGCAAGCGGAACGAAAACCCCCCGCCAGCGGGTTTAACCTAATCTACAACTAAAACCCAGAGAACATGCCTTCCTTCGTTCAGTTCAGCTTCGCGAAGAAACTCGCGCCTTTTTTCGAAATTCGAGTCGACTACTTGAAATTCCAGCGAAATGTCAAAGTTGAACGAATCGGCCGCAACTTTGCCAGCGATGTGACAGTTGAGGGAGGATTCATCAGCGTTGAAAGCCAGGAGTGAGAGATATCGAGAGAAAGGGACGTAATTGCCGTACGGAAGAATGGAAGCCAAATGATCGCAGACATTCCGCGAAGGAGAGAGAGATCCCTCGGTCTGGCTCGGCCCCCGCGATCAAACGTCCGACCAATGATTTCCTTTTTCTATTCACTGCCGGGGGAAGCCGCAGAAGCACTCCGGTTGATAGGCCACTGATCGCGCCGGTATATCCACCGGTATTGGCTTCCTCCCCCTTGGCTGTATTGGTGTACATCTCTCTTGCAAATGGATCCTCGCAGAAACTAGATTCAGCCCTCCGAGCCGGTGACAAGAAAGGAGACGGTAGATTGGATGTACGGGCTGGCCTCGATGATGGGCTCAACAGGCTTCCAGCCCGACTCAATCGAGTCGAACCGCGCTCAGAATTCGATAATCCTGCCCCCCTCCCCCCCCCCCCTCGGTGCTCTCCGGTTATTGTCCGCCGGAATTTTTTAACAAGCTCGCATCTCTTTAACAACACACGCACCCTTTGTCGAGGCACTAACAAGCGTGTGTCAGATGTCCTCCCTATCCGTACTCGTACGTATAGAAAATAATTCAAACGTGGCACGAATCGATGCGGCCACGGGCGAACCTTTCATGAAAATTACACGCGCGAGTGTAGGCACTCCTGTTGGAAACTCGTGAATGGAAATTTTAACGATACGCTAATTTTTAAATGTTATTCAACGTGTATTGTATTGTATTGTATTATATTATATATATTATATATTACTATATTATATATATTATATATATTATATATTATTATATTATTATGTTATATTGTTATTTAAACTCAGCTGTTTAAACTTCCAACTGCTTTCTCGACGAACATTAAAATTATAAATTCAAAATTATAAAAAATTGGAGGTACTGACATCGTTGAAAGATTCAAGAACCTCCCGATGATTCGCGGAGAAAGTGCCGAGGGCGAATCATTCCTTTACGGGGCTCGTGCCAATCACGCGATGCCCGGAAACGCATAAAACCCGGCCGACGTCCGGTGGCGAGCGTATCCCGCAGAAAATCCGCGCTCGTAAAAGCATCTCATATCGCGACGTGCAGCTACTTTCTTCTTTTTTTTTTTTTTTTTTCCTCCCCCCCAGCCGTTGGCCCGTGCTTTTTATCGCGCAACGTCGCCTCAAAGCGGACCGCTGCTTTCGAAACGAAAGATAAATCTTCGACGATCTGCCTTTAATCCCAGTATGTTCGCGGCAAGTAGGCGAAAGAAATAACTTGAGAAATAAGAAAATTATCTCGCTCGGTGAAGGATACTTTTTGCTCTGCTTCCAATTAGATTTCCACTCCGCGACTGTTTCTCACCTTTTTTTCCCCCAAAATTCGTCCCGTATTTTTTGCAGCAGCAAGCTCTTTGTATTTGGAATTTTCTCCAGACACGTTCTTCCTTCTTATCCGTCTCGTAGTCACGAAACGCCTTCGGTTGAATATACGACGTTCATTCCCGACACGTGAGGCATTACGTCGTTTTCTGTTCGGTCTGAACCACGGTTTCTTCCCACGCTTCGTCCGCGATTTATCCCGTTATTTGGGAACATTAAACTCCGCAAATATGTAATTAAGTGTATCGTTCCTATTGTTGCGCGAAATTTAGAAACGAGCTTGCGGAAATTTTCTGCCCGAATTTATTCAAGTGGAAAGGTTATCTCGCCGCTTAATTAATTATTTATTCGTTTCAATTTTAACTTACCGTTATCTGTTTAATTTTAATGTGCTTTAATTTTTACTTTTACATTTAATTTATTATTAAGTAGAAAGATAGTTTAATGGAAGATTGTAGAGAATTCTACGATGAATAATTAAATGTATCGTTGTTACGTCATAATACTGCTGCTGCTGAAAAAATTAACAGTACAAATGATCAATTTATAATTTTCTATATTGCAGTATATTTCTAGATACACGAGTGATTTTCAATGAAATGTATTAATAGAAGCTTGAGTTCTTTATTTATTGCACCATTATTAAATATTTGCTTTCTCCTGTACCTTGCACTTCAATTTCTTCGCTACGAATATCGTAACATTTTCGTCGTCGGTAGTTCCGGTGTTAAGAACGAATCTTCAGGAATTTCCTACAATTTTCCATGCCGCAGTGATAGAAAAATAAGTAAAATAGAATAACTAGAGTAGAAAAAATAGAAAAATAACTAAAACAAAATAACTGGAATAGAAAAAATAGAAAAATAATTAAAATGAAATAACTAGGATAGAAAAAATAGAAAAATAATTAAAATGAAATAACTGGAATCGAAAAAGTAGAAAAACAACTGAAATAACTAGAATAGGAAAAAATAGAGAAACAACTAAAATAAAATAACTAGAATGGGAAAAAATAGAAAAATAACTAAAATAAAATAACTAGAATAGAAAAAATAGAGAAACAACTAAAATAAAATAACTAGAATAGAAAAAATAGAGAAACAACTAAAACAAAATAACTAGAATAGAAAAAATAGAGAAACAACTAAAATAAAATAACTAGAATAGGAAAAAATAGAGAAACAACTAAAATAAAATAACTAGAATGGGAAAAAATAGAAAAATAACTAAAATAAAATAACTAGAATAGAAAAAATAGAGAAACAACTAAAATAAAATAACTAGAATAGAAAAAATAGAGAAACAACTAAAACAAAATAACTAGAATAGAAAAAATAGAGAAACAACTAAAATAAAATAACTAGAATAGGAAAAAATAGAGAAACAACTAAAATAAAATAACTAGAATGGGAAAAAATAGAAAAATAACTAAAATAAAATAACTAGAATAGAAAAAATAGAGAAACAACTAAAATAAAATAACTAGAATAGAAGAAATAAGAAAATAATTAAAATGAAATAACTAGAATAGAAAAAATAGAAAAATAATTAAAGTAAAATAACTGGAATAGAAAAAATAGAAAAATAACTAGAATAGAAAAAATAGAAAAATAACTAGAGTGGGAAAATAGAAAAATAACTAGACTGTGAAAAAATAGAAAAATAACTAA